ATTTTAAAAAAGAGAAATATCTAGGCAAATTTCACCTCTCTGGGCATTAACTACTAAATGCAGTTATTATCTACACTGTTTATCTGTTGTCAGGATAAAAGGAAATGATGGATGTAGAAGTATTTTATAAACTGAATACAAGAGTACAGGGAGATTGTGTAATTTTCGTTGCTATTGATGTTTTTATCAATAACAATGTCATCATTATTTTTCTCAAAGTGTTTTTCTTTTTTTATTTTATTGTGTTTTAGGTGAATGTTTACCACGCAAATTAGTTTCTTATTCAAACATTTATACACAAATTGTTTTGTGACATTGGTTTCAGCCCCTGCAACGTGTCAGCACTCTCGCCCTTTCCCTTTACACCACGTGTTTTCCTGTCCTTTCCTGCCTTCTTGTCTTTCCTTTTGGGCAGGTGTTGCCCATTTGGTCTCATATACTTGATTGAACTAAGAAACACGTTCCTCACGTGTTATTGTTTGTTTTATAGGCCTGTCTAATCTTTGGCTGAAAGGCGGACTTCGGGAGTGGCTTCAGTTCTGAGTTAGCAGTGTCTGGGGAAAAATGTCATCCTTATTATCATTATCACAATCACTACAAAAAGGTCCCGTCACTTTGGTCTTCTGGCACTCTATGTTAAGATCACTGAGGTAGTTCATCAATTTATCTTAAAGGAAAAAATAATGCAACAATTTAGCTAGTTCCTCAGAGGCTGGAAGGAGGCAGTGAAGAGTTGGTAAATACAACAGCGTTTATCAGGGAAGTGGAGGAAGACGTGTTGTGAAATGCCTAGATACACCACAGCTAGAGAAGCCAAGTGCGTAACTGTTACTGGGAAACACCCCTTGTGCCTGGATAAATTCTGGTTGGAATGCATCATGGGACATCCTGCAAACACATAATGACAGGAGTCTGGGAGCATTCCACTGCTGACACCTAAGAATCTGTGGTTAGTTAATCTCTCAAGATGGAGCTGAATTCCCAGAAAAATGGAAAACAGTGAGTCCTCTTTTCAGGCTGAAAGGAGAGCAGAAGGAGGTACTACTTGGAGCACAGAGGCTGGATCAGGAAACTACAAAAAATAAGAAGGTGGGTAAAGAAGGATCTCAGATTCTGGAGAGAAGAAATTCCCCTTCAAATGAGTAACAATAATTTCCCCTCTTTGCTGCCTTTACAAGAAAGCTCAGAAAATGAAGTCTGGACACAAGGAGGGACAGTAGACATAGGGAACCCAAGGGTGAGAAGGGAGAGTACTGACATGTCATGGGGTTGTTAACCAATGTTATAAAACAATATATGTACTAACTGTTTAATGAGAAGCTAGTTTGTTCTGTAAACCTTCATCTAAAGTAAAATAAATAAATAAATAAAATAAAGTCTTTCCTTTCTGTCTTATCTCAAGATATGACAATTATCCCGAGACTATGGCCCCCAGGCACCCTGCTAACTCAGAACTGAACTCTCCCCCGGAGCCCACTTTTCAGCCAAAGATTAGACAGGCCTATGAAACAAATGGTAACACACGTAAGGAACGTGCTTCTTGGTTCAATCGAGTATAGGAGACCAAATGGGCAACACCTGCCCAAAGGCAAGATGAGAAAGCAGGAAGCGACAGGAAAACTGGACAAGTGGACACAGGGAACCTGGGGTGGAAAGTGGGACAGTGCTGACACATTGCGGGATTGCAACCAATGTCACAAAACAATATGTATATAAATTTTTGAATGAGAAACTAATTTGTACTGTAAACTTTCACCTAAAGCACAATAAAATTTTTAAAAAATATATAAATTTTTTTTTCCATTTTGTATCAAGAAAAAAAAAGATGACAATTAGAAAACCCAGACTAGCTGTGAATGACGTCTTTGGATGGTTGGGAGAATATGTTTGCTGTGAAAACCTGAAACACCATGCCCTCGTGGATAGAGCAAAGCTTTGGAGCACAGACCTGAGTTTGAATCCTGTTTCTGCCCCTGAGTAGTCCCATTCCCTGGGAAATCAGTTTACCTACCCTACTGTGAGCCTATTTCCCTGTTGTTAAATGGGGGTTTTAATATTTCATGCAGTCGTAAGGATGATGTTGTTGGGTGCTATCAAATCAATGCTGACTCATAGAGACCCCATGTGACAGAGGAGAACTTAATCTTTACAGAAGCAGATAGCCAGGTCTTTCTCCCATGGAGTCCCTGGATGGGTTCAAACTGCCAACCTTCTGGTTAACAGCTGAGCACTTAAGCTTTGGGCCACCAGGCCTCTTTGTAAGGATGATTAAGAGATGTTATATAAGGCATCCATTATTTTCTTGGCTCTTAGTAGGTGCTTAAAAGAATTAGTTCCCTTTCTTCCCTCTTCCCAACCTTGACTCACAAGTGCTTCACAACTGGGGAATCGGAGCGCCCCCTTCAGGACTTCTGTAGACAGCGGAAAGGATAATTTACATCCTACAAGAGGGAGATGCAGGTATCAAGCAGCTGGCGAGCTGCTTTTGTTAGCTTGCGGTCACCATCAGTGCTGGGGAAGGAACTTCACAGCCTTGGTGCCTTCTTGCTCCCGAATAGCCACCCAGTTCAAAAGGAGTGGGGTCACGGCCCAGGGAGAGCAAAGGGCTTTCAGATTAGGAGACCGATGAAGCCGTTGGTGTGGGTGGGTCCCTCAGAAGGTCCTGCCCCTTGTGCCCATGTGCTCTTCCGCCTCCCCAGCATACCTTTCCTTTGCCCACGGGACCCAGAGAGTCTCAGGCCCTTCTCACCTTTTTCCAGCTGCCCCCACTGACCCCAATCCCTGGGGTTCCTCTCCCCAAGGCTGGCTATTGGGTGGAATACAGCTGCCCCAATTCCCCCTCCTTCCTTGCTATTCTAGGCAGTACAGGAGTAGAAAGAGCAGACCTGGGAGAGCCAGTTCACCTCAATAAATCTGTTTCCTCTTCTGTCAAAAGGACCCACCCCCCCTTTTTAGGGTTTTACTAAGCTCTCTATAGGAAGCAGCCAAGAGAGTAACAAAATTAACCAATGCAAGAAGTCATAAAGGTTCCAGAAAGCCCACAAAATTCTTGCAATTCCTGATTACTGTTTATACAGACATACAGACAGGGTTAGAGCTATGCTATTGTTAAATTTAAAAAGTTGCAGAAGCGTGTATATATACATGCATCCGTATATATTTGATTAATTATTACAAAGTAAGGAAGGAGAGTTAATAATATTTAATAGTGGTTTATCTCTAGGGCATGAGATCAAGATGATTGAAAACTTCTCTTTTTACTTTATACACTTCTGTACTGTTTTGATTTTTTTTCCAATGGGTACATACTGTTATATTTTAATGGAACTATATTGTTATGTTATTTTTCAAACAAATAACTATTGTAACAATGCAATAAATACATAGGGAAATATTGCTTGCTAGATCTTTCTCTTTCATATCCCCTCTTCAAGAAACCTTTCTTATGTTATTATCCATCTTCACTTTTATTCCTAAACAGCATGAGTTTATTAATTCTGATTTATTAATTCTCTTTCCTCACCCTGGACCACCCTACCCTTTTGAAAAGCAGACACGTTTCAGTAAATCTAATAGACATAAATAGACACAGAAGCCTCAGACTCAGGTGGGCTCAAGGAGCAGTGTCCTATTTCAAAGTGGCCCCAGCTTTAGACAGGAAATGTCAGATTAGACCACTTCTGAACACCTGGTCTCCAGGAGGGAAATCCAAACCCCACCTAAATATTCAGGCTCCAGCAGAGGAGTACCAGGGCTTAGCACCTGGCTGCCGAGGGGTATGAGAGAACAGCTGTGTTCCAGTCCCAGTGCCACTTGCCACTGTGACCATGGATAAGGCCCTCCCCCTCTCTGGGGCTCTGTTTCTTCCTCTACTGACTGATAGAAACATTGCCAATCTCCAAGACTGTTGGGAAGATTACATGAGGTAATGCAAGTAAAAGCACATTTTCAATTGCAAAACGTTCCAATAAGCTGAAGTAAATTAGAGCAGGGGGCTTACCAGCCTTTGCATAAAGGGGAACTACTTTTTATTTTGTGTGAAATTCATGGATAGATGCGAGAGGGGAGTAAGGGAGGGGCCTCAGCAGCTGGTGGTATTTTTCCTCCACCCTGGAAATCCCAAACCACATAGAGGGGGATATAGCCTGTGTGTGTGCGCACATATGTGTGTATTTTCACATTGGAGATGCTGCTTTGGAAGAGAGTACACGTAGAGTATACACAGCATCCAAGCCTGGAGATGTTCCAGATGAGTTTTGACATCTGCTAGTAGAATCCAATTTCCTGGCTACAGGCTTCAGGCCAGGGCCCAGGAGGGTGAGGAGCCAGCAAGGAGGACTGCTAACTGCCCCCACACCCCTTTCAGGGTATCTCAAGTCAGCAGGCTGAGGCTGGCTGGAGAGTGGGGAAAACCCAGGTGGAGTGTGGCCCTGCGGGCAATTCCAGAACAGAACAGTGGTCTGCAGAAAAGAACCAGGGCCTGAGTGCCAGGAAACCTCACTCTGCCCCTCATTAGCTGTGTGGCATTAGTCAAGTTGTTGCCACCCCACCCTGGGCTTCAGTTTCCCCTTCTATAAACTGATGGGGCTGAATTAGAGTCGGCTCCTCTGGCTCCATGACCACAGTCATTCTGTGTCTGCCTCTTAGGCAGCGGGGCTTCCCAAACAGAGGGCCCATTGAGAGCTGGGATAGAAGCCTCTGGAATTCCCTCCAGCCTCAGTCAGGAACAGACACAGGCAGTTTTCTTCCCTCCAGTTCCTGCCCTCAGGCAGCCCCTGTTCCCCGCTCATAACTGCACTGGCAATCTGTGAACTCATCTTTCTTTCCCACCCAGAAGGGACTGGATCCCAGGTCGGTGGGGGGGAGGGTGCGGGCGGGGGGGGTGGCAGAAAGGAGGCAGGCAGCAGGGCAGCATGGCACAATAAGATGGAGGGAGGATGGGGCACCTAGCACAGAGGGTCACTGCAGAGCACCAGAGCAGAAGATACATAACACCGAAATCAGACAAACCAAATTTTATTCAGAAAAGCAGATTAGTAATCACCACTAAACTACTGAATGAGGCACGTCGCTCCCCTCTCCTTGCCCACGCTCACCCCTCCCACCCTCCTTTCTGGCCTTTGTAGAACACTGTAGAAATCCTCTTCCGGGTCTGCACGTCGCCCCAGACTTTTGAGCCAGGAGTTGCCCAGCATGATCTTGGGCTGGACTGGATCCTGGTGTCCAAAGAGAACAGCCTATGAGGCTGTCTCCAGTATCCAAAAGTCTGGGCCAGGTCAGATGGCTGTATCTATGGCACGAGGCCTCAAGGCAGAGGAGGGAATGGGTGTGGGGGCCGTCTTACACGTCCTTCTCACATCTGGCAGACAGAGGGACTACCAAGCAGCTGGAGGCCAAGTGTAAAGGCACATCTAGAAGAGTCAAAACGCTCTGGAATGCTACAGGCACATCAGAATGGATAAGGCACTGTAAAGGCCAAGGAGATTCTGTTCCTGAATAAGGTCCCCTGACCACAGACAGAGCACCCTGGGCTAGGGGCTAAGGAAGGGGCTCTCAGGGGGCTGGACCTGAGCTGAGGATACAACTTAAATGATGATCTAAACAGAGAGAAAAGAAAAAAGGACAAAAGCTGGGGCTAAAACCCATTGTTTAGACTTCAAGGATGCAGAACTCAGTTCCAGGTGTCTGGAATCTTATGCCCAAGTCACAGCACCAGGGGAATCAGGAATCCCCTTGGGTTAAGGCAGAATGAGTCTTCATCCATCTTGGTTCTTCCATGAATAGTGTGGAAGCCACTGTGAAGGGAAGTTGCTGAGCAAAAGCAGTTCGCTCTCCCCGACCTCCCTCGACACATATTGAAGACTCTGAAACCTTCTGCTGGTCCGAGCCGGAATGGTGTTGCAAGCCAGGGAAACTGGGGACCGGGAGAGAACGGCACAACCAAGCTCTGGGAATCTCCACAGCTCAACAAAATGCAAACCTGCAACAGAAGAACCAGAGTCACCGGGCTTCCAAGGCACTCAGCAAATCCCACCCCCAGGTTCTGGCTGGCACCAGTGGTTGGAACTAAGGGAACAGTTACCCTGCCCAACAGGGACCCCAGCCTAACCAAAACATCAAAGGACTCAGGGGACCCTTGGGATTCAATGTTCTGGAATTTCCCAAAGAAAGGAAAAAAAATTACAATAATAGTATCTAACATGTATTAATCCCCTACCATATATAATGCGGGAACCCTGGTGGTGCAGTGGTTAAGAGCTTGGCTGCTAACCAAAAGGTCAGCAGTTTGAATCCACCAGCTGCTCCTTGGAAACCCTATGGGGTAGTTCTACTCTGTCCTACAGGGTCACTATGAGTCGGAATCGACTCAACGGCAGTGGGTTTGGGGTTTTTTTTGTTTTGGTTATATACAATACGAGGGCCTGGGTGGTGCAAATGGTTAGTTAATGGGCTCAGCTGCTAACCGAAAGGTTGGAGGTTTGAGTCCACCCAGATGCTCCTCAAAGGCCTGATGATCTACTTTTGAAAAATCAGCCATTGAACACCCAATGGAGGACAGTTCTACTTTGACACACATTATATCACCATGAGTTGGAACTGACTAGAAGGCAGCTGGTACCCGATACTATATATAGGACAGCATGGTCCTGAAGAGGCCAGGTTGTCAGGGTTCAAATCCCAGTTCCACTACTCACTAGCTGTGAGACTTTGTTCAAGTTATTTAACCATTCTGCGACTCATTTTCCTTGTATGTAAAATGGGAATAACAAAATCCACTTCAACAAGGTTGTTGGAAGAATGATATGAATACATGTACAGTACTCTGAGCAGTGCTAGGCTAGATAAGGACCATGATGGTGATGTATACAAAACTCATGTTAAGCGCTCTACACCCTCACAACCACAATGGAGAAACCCAACACCTTTACATCTAAGCTTTAAAATCATGTTCACAAAAACACAATTTGGCCTCCCCTATTCCAGTTTCTAATCCAGAGGGTAGAACTTTTTCAAAGAGCAGAGCCTTTGAAGGATATAGCAAAAGACCGAATTTTCACAACTTTCTGAACATTTTAGTTATTATTTTACCCTTGTAACTTGTCCTCTGTATAAAGACCTTTCAACTTTTAGAAAAGGAGGGGGCTCTGTGTTTTTTTAGTCAAAGGTCTACGACCCCTTCCAAAAAACCAAGAAGCATCTTACCTCCCAGAGGCTTGGCCAGCTGTTCACTCTAGCTCCAGACACTTTTCTTCTCTTGGGTGAGTGTGACCCTCCAGCTTCATGGTCAACGCCAAGATCTCTTACAGATGAAGTTCCTTTTGACTTGGAAATCATTCCAAGCAATGTAAAGGGATGTTCAAATCCATCTCCCAGGTCTTAGTGTATGGCCTCTCTCACTGGCCTGGCAGGGGCTAGCTGTCCCTCTCCCTCTGCTAGAGAAACCCCCTGGGAAGAGAACATGCTCCCCAAATCTCCATAGACCGAAGGCAATGAGTTGGGCAAGGACAGCACAGGGCTGCTTGGAATCTTAAGGTGGGAAAAACAGATGCAGGCCCAGAGATAGTTAATACTGTAAACTAAGTTACCTGGGCTTCTTTTACAGTGGGACTTCTCAGAGCCTTTGCTATGCTAATGACATCGTCAATCTCCAAGGGGCAATAGCACCATCGACAAACTCATGTGGTCTTGAAATCCTCTTTTAGAGGGGTATCTCCTGGTCCAGGGTTACTGGGAACACCCACTGCTTTAACGTAAACAGCGCTGGACTGGGAGTCCAGGGACCGGTTCTAATCTTGTTCTGGCTGTTCCCAACAGCAGGCCTGGGGTCCCTATCTGTAAAAAGAAGGGGTGGGGCGCACCCTAACATTCCGTGATGATTGGGGGGTGGGGGGAGCAGTGAAGCAGACGCCTGTGAGAGGAAGGCTGGGAAGGGGGTTGTATCACTGTGACGCCGGAAGTCAGTGACCTCTGTTTTAGACAAAGGCTGGGCAGGCATAGGTGAGAGAAGACTCCAGCCAAAGACATCAAGCACCGAGGGGTCTGCCGGGAGGGGCCCCTCACGACGCTTGCACAATCCCAAATTCGTCACTCATCCGAGAACCAGCCGAGGCCTCTCCCCAGCTCCGCCAGCGGCCGCGTGCCGGCCTTCTACAGCACCCGAGGCTGGAAAAAGGGCCCGAAGGGGTGCTCTTCCGACCGCGGGTCGGGAGGCACGGCGCAGTGGCGCGGCCATAAGGTTGGGTCCAATTTGGGTGCCTCCCCCGGATCTACGCGGCGCCTGTCCACGTCTCGCTCTCAGCAGGGAAGAGAAAAGGAACCGCAAGATTTCGATTCGGGGCGGCCCGTCTGAGGGTATGCGTCCGTCCGCCTCTCGGATTGCAGCCCTGCCCAGGTCCCTGGAGAGGGTGCGTCCGGCGCAGCGCTTTAGACTCAGGGCTCCCCGCTATACGGGAGCTGCGTGTCAGGGTCCCTGTTCCTGGGCGTGGGCGGCAGCGGGAAGGCAGGGCAAGGGGAGGGTGCCAGCGCGCAAGACCGCGGGGCGGCAGAGGCAGTAAGGACTGGGGCGCCGCCCTCCACAGGATCCCCTGCCCGGGTAGGGCCCGCGGCAGCCGCGGGCGGTCTCACACCACGTCCTGCTCGCCCTGGTAGCGGCGGCAGCAGCCGTAGAGCGCCGAGAACAGGTAGAGACCAAGGCAGAGGCCGCCGCAGACGGCGGCCGCCAGGAAGGCGTGGTAGGCGCAGGGCAGCGGGTAATCCTTCAGGTTACAGTAGCTGTGGAGCCGCGTCTGGTGGATCATGATGCCCGTCGCGGCGCCGTAGAGCGCGGCCGCCAGCAGGTCGTGCGCCACGTTCACCAAGAGCCAGCGCGCACCCAGCACGGGCACCAGCTCGTGCTTGCCCAGCAGCGTGAGGAAGTAGAGGCCCAGGGTCAGCAGCCAGAAGAGCACGGACACGAAGAGCGCGAAGTGCACCGGACCCTGGTACCTGCTCGTAGCGATGGTGATCCAGAAGGCGGCGCCGGCCAGCAGCTGCAGCAGCCGCAGCACGCCCAGTGG